TAGCCATAACTGAGGCTATCATTTGAAAATGGGGCAAAGATTTAAAGATGGAAGATTCAATTTTTAGTTTTTTATTGTGTTTTTTTCCAGCTAATTGCTGTACAACCAATCATTAGCTATTCAATTTTTGAAATGACCATTTATAAAGGTGTTATTGTGAGTATCCTGAGGTATGCGTCCCCTGCCTGGAACCAAAATCTCTCGCACAGACAGAAATGTAGGTTGGCCACGATTCAGCGGATGGCTCTGCTTCGAGTATCCAGAACATTCAGGACGGTGTCTCATGAGGCTGTGCAGGTCTTGGCAAGAGGAATACCTCTCGACCTCCTGCTGAGAGAAGACTACTACCGGTATAAGATTAGGAGAGAATGCTTAGCGGCTCTACCGGATTACCTCCGAGTGAGAATAGGAGGTGATCCAAGAAACTGGAAGACGATTCTCCGGGAGGTTACAGTAGAGGACTGGAACCGACGGTGGTTGACGACTCCCAAAGGAGCTAGTCTAAGGAAGTACTTCCCCACCGTCAGTTCGCGGCTAGAAGCGACTTGGGTCCTCCCGGACTACTGGATTTCACAGATTCTCACGGGGCATGGGGGTTTCCAAGCAAAGCTCGTTCAGTATGGTATAAATATCGATCCCCTATGCCCAAGTTGTGGGGTACCGGAGACCGCTGAACATGTTGTACTTACCTGTACGGTCTATGAGTCACTGAGGGCGAAACTGTTGAGAGAAACAGGTCTCTTTGTCCTAACAGAGAGAGATCTTCCTCAACTTATGGACAAAGAAAGATACGATCACTTCAAAAGTTTAATATACGGGTGGAAAGAAGTTGTTCTACCAACCCACTTCTCTTTGGGAAGAAGAAGAGAAGCTGCACCGGGGAGGCCACCAGAATAAGAAGAAAAATAAACCAGATGCTAGTGAAGAGAAGAGCAAGCTGTGTGCACAGCTCAGAAAAATAATGTAATAGTCAAAAATGCAGCAGTGGGTTGTTATTTAACAGTAACATCCCACTGCTGCAAATACCCGTATTGCCTTCAGGCAGGGGAGGGTTGAAAATAAAATAAAAAAAAAATATTCAATTTTTGAAATATTTGATTTATGTTGACTCTACTACTTAATAAAAAACCATTGAAAGAGTCGGGAGAAGCTGCCTCTCACTGAATATTGTTTTAGATTTCTTACATCACAAAATCAACCGACTGCTATCGTATAAACCCAGCCTATCATACCCTCTTACACAGACCCGTTTCGTCAAAATCAAATTTAACACAATCCTCCTATTTACGTTTCGGCCTAATCCTACCATTTTAACCGCAATCAGTGAAGACTATAATTTAGAGGAACACACACACATAGACTATATTTATTTACATAATTTTATTTTTCATTTCAATTTCCATAATGTGCAGTAGCCTTATAAATTATCCAGTCGTCCCTTGTAGTAGAATATATAACGCGCAATTTATTTCCCAAAACCTCAAGCCGCCTGAAGTTACCTTGATGTTCGCTACCACATTTAACATTCATCGTATATAACAATTATAAATACATGTAAGTTATTATTTTCCTAAATTTAATAATATTTTCTTCATTAGCATGCACCTGCCTGGTTCAGCTGTTCTCTAAATGAAGTGGAAACAGTAAATTATACTAATATGTTACTAATTATGATAACGAACCGTGAGCAATTTATTATTATATTATATTATCTGATAATTTCATGATTATTAAAATGCATTAATTTGTAATTCGACAAGTATAAACATTTTAAAATATTTGGCTGTGATCTTTTACTTTAAATGCGTTGGACATATTTACTTCATCACGAACTATTTTACGCCAACAATCATCCGTATCAAGTTTATTAATTTAATCGGGATTCTATTCTTTCTAAGGATTTTCAACAAATTAAACCTGTTAATACTGTCAAATGCCTGTTTATAGTCGATAAATAGTAAATGCAGGTCAATGCCATATTCATATGGTTTTTTCCTTTGCTTGTCGAAGAATAAGGATTTGGTGTGTAGTACCTTTACCAAAAGCGACCTTATTTCCAATTAAATGGTTATGTTTAAATATATATAAATATATATACAAATGATACATAGAGAAAAATGCAATTTTGTTACATAATAAATGCTGGGAGTCATTCAATATTAAATTAATATGCCGTAAATATTAAATTAATTCAGTTCATAATGAATAACCAAACTAAACTTTATCGTATTCGGGAAATTTAAAGTTATACAAACTAATTTTGTTTCGCTCTAAGATTAGCTACGAAATGGATAAGCGGATTTAGATATTGGAAACTAAAATTTGTTAATTACAGTGCAATGGTTGGATATGTCTTATACTTTTACGATAAATCTTTATATAGAGCAGGTCTGCCTCACTAAATTTTAACTTGAATTTTAATAGCATATCCCTCCGATAACTATAGCATTAAATGGCCATTTTCCCTCCTAATGCATTCCACGTATAAGAGATTTGAGTGAAGCATATTTATTCAAATGTACAATATTCTTGCACCAAGTAATGGTCTATACAACACACACAATTGTTTAAGATTCATGCTTTCCGACAACTGTTTAAGTAACAATGTACTTAGTAAGTGATGAACTTATCCCGCTGTAAATATCCTTCCAGTTTAATAGTTATCCAATGGGACACAACTATTCCTGTTCTGGTGCTAAACCGTTATTATATTCACAAAAGATGTATTTTTTTGGTCCAGAAGAGCCTTGATTTGTAATTCTCTCATGTACTAATAATATAAAAAGCTATACGTGAATATATTTTTATTTTTTCTTTCAATATTATCCGAATGGTCTAAGAGATCATAGTGCATTCTCTTTCATTACATCTTCAATTGATCTTTAGTTGGTCGAATACAATAATAAACAGATAATTTAGAAAACCTCCTGAAAACCTAATAAATATTCTATGAAAAGCATCTAAGTGACTATTAGCAACAATTATGATTAATTCCGAAATGGAACATTTTTGGAGCTTTTTGTCCGCATCTTCAAAAATGTTTATCCCATCGTGATTCGTCGACTTTTGAAATCTCCGAATTTTTCACCGCCAAGACCCAAAGAAATATTGTGAGAACATGCAATAATATATCGGAAAAGTTTGCAACTAATCAAGATATTAGGCAAGGGTGCAGTCTAAGTCCTCTGCTATTTACACTAGTGCAAAACAACAAAACAAAATATGAGATCATATCAAATGGGATACAGAAATCTACATAATGTATTTTTCTCACTGTTGGCTCATGCAGGCGGTTTGGTGGTTTTCGGAAGCAATAGACAAAACTTGCAATTCAACCTCCGCATTCTTCAGGAAGAATTAAATAAGATAAATATGCAAATAAATGTGGAAAAAAAAATATGAAGATTGGCAGAAAACAAGGAAGAGGAGACAGAATAGTGCACTTGAGTGGAGTTCCATTGGAACAAGTGAAAAATTATAAATACCTCGGTGCCCACATCAATGAACATGGATGGATCGACGGAGAAATAAAGGAAAGTCTTAAGTATGCAGGAAGGTGCTTCAACGCCATCAAGAAGGGATTCTTGAACAAGAGAGAAGTGACTACAGAGAAAAAACAACCGTGTACAAAAATACTTACCTCCCTATAATTACCTATTCCGGCGAGTCACGGACCCTTACCACAAAACACATCAATCAGATTGAAGCCATGGAGATGCGATTCCTGCGCAGGGTGGAAGGAAAAACAAAGGGAGATCGCATAAGAAACTCCATAATACGGAAAAATCTAAACGTAAGATCAGCCGAAATTGTGATGGAGGAAAATTGTTTGAGATGGTTTGGTCATGTCTCTCGAATGCCAGAGAATCGAATGGTCAGGATAGCGTTGGAAAGGAAAGCTGAGAGAAGAAGACCTCAGGGAAGGCCCAGGAAGACCTGGGAGGTCGGTGTCAAGGAGGCCTTTGACAGAAGGGATATTGACTGGAGGAGGAGGCGGCAATTGGCTCAGGATCGAGAGTTGTGGATTCGGCTCTACAAGAAGACTCCTCACACCGCTCAGCGGTAGAAGAGGAAACGATTAAGAAGAAGAAGAAGAATGTTTTCAATAACTTTTATTTCCCACATACTGGACTCAAAAGACAAGAACTCACCCGACGATACGGCCAGCTATACAGACTACTAAACAGAAAATCTAAACTTTCTATTGAAAACAAATTACTTATCTACAAGACAATACTGAAACCTATATCGACATACGGACTTGAACTGTGGGGGACAACAAAATTTTCTAACATCAAACGTATTCAATCCTTTCAATCTAATGTCCTTCAAACAACACTTGGTGCTCCGTTCTATGTAACTAACAAAACCCTACACCATGACCTTAATGTCCCATTTGTCCTAGACCTTATCCCATAAAAATTCTCCAAATTTCACTAGATCCTTACCTGTCATCCAAATCCCCAGGCGCAATCTCTATCCAGCACCACCCATCCTTACAATCCTCCTCGAAGGTTGAAGCGGCAGTGGCCCAAAGACCTTCTGTGAATAAGCATCTATTGGAGTTTTGGCAACGGCCAGATCCACCACTCAAGCCAAGTATGTGTGATTTTAGATTAGTTCTTTTGTTTATATACATTTATTTTTATTATTATTAGTTTCTGTATTATTTATTTTTACTTATTGTAAATAGAGTGTGAGTGAGCTCTCTGAACATTATTATAAATATCCTTGATTGTGATATTTCTAAATAAACAAATAAGAAAGAAAAACAAACTTTTATTTAAGTTGTAGGAATCAAATAGCCGAACTTGTGATCCGTCACATCTTTAAGAAATATTTTTTCATTTGATACCTCATTCATTAAAATGATCGCTCGTGAGAGCCGGAAAAGGAATCTATAGTACCAAATTACTGACTTATTTTTTAATTTAACCATTTTTTGAACTGAGTCATTTTAAAAGAAGACATACCTGGGCGGCTCGAGGAGCTCCCTCTGCTCATTGCAGTTGGGGGCCCTCCTGAAGTTGAAGACGAGGGGGCGGCGGTTGATGTCCGGGGCCTCGACGAAGGAGTTGCCCGAGGACACGGACTGGCCCCCCCGGGCCGAGCGCTGGCTGAGCACGGAGTAGTTGTGCCTCGGGCCGCGGCACTCGCTGGACAGCTCGCAGCGGGTCGACTCGCGGCCGTTGAGGCACCGCGACAGCGTCGACTGCAACAGATGGTGCCTTCTGTCAGCTTTCAATTAACATGTTCAATAAAAAAGTTGGCACATTATTAATTGTGGATATTTAGTGACATAGGTCATTCAAGAAGGAAGGCATGGCAACTGCTTCCTTCAATAAACATGTTCAATAAAAAAGTTGGCACATTATTAATTATAGATATTTAGTGACCCATAGGTTATTCAAGAAGGAAGGCATGGCAACTGCTTCCTTCAATAAACATGTTCAATAAAAAAGTTGGCACATTATTAATTATGGATATTTAGTGACATAGGTTATTCAAAAAAGAAGGCATGGCAACTGCTTCCTTCAATAAACATGTTCAATAAAAAAGTTGGCACATTATTAATTATGGATATTTAGTGACATAGGTTATTCAAAAAAGAAGGCATGGCAACTGCTTCCTTCAATAAACAACTTTTTTTCTTATCTCATTTTATGATATCCCGGGCTCAGAGAGACGGCGGGGGTTTATTACCAGAGCTAAATGCCCTCGACACCGGGACTCTATCTCAAAAACTGCTCAAAGTTATCAGAATCCCTGGCAACGGTTGTATTGCAAACGGGTTGCCCACTCGGCCACCCTTCTCCCTCCGTTCAAACAAACTATTCAAATTTATATATTAATATATTGAATAATAATAACTTTATTATGTTTGTATGAAAATAAAATAAAGACTACAATATTTGATTAGTTCAGGCGGTCGCAATTTTTTAATATGATTATATTAGCTTATGTTCTGACTATGATGGATTAAATCACAAAGCTGCTGTTAGGATATGCAGTGGGTGTAGAGAACATCACCTGTTCAAAGCCTTTTTATGCAAAGTGCAGAGCCTTCGTTGAAGCTAAGAAGAGCTTATCTCTCGGCTAAAGTAGAGTAGGTAGTAAAGTCGACCTCACTACATAACTACTTATTAAATTCATTAAAAATCGAACCAATAGAATATTACTTCTTAAGGACGAGGCTGCAACTAAGATTAACCGATTTAGTTCCAACTTTTAACGAAAATATAAATGTACAATGCATTAAACGCTCTCCAGACATTGCCAAATTCTTTTGGCCTCAATATATTGTGAATACCAATTTATAGCGCTCTAAGATCTGTGAAGACTTGATAAACTCCATAGATACTGGCTTTTCTTCTTTTTGAGGAGTTTCAGGATTAATATCTAAAAGACATCTTATATCTACAATATATCTTTTTTAGTTATCTTTAGATATCTTAAAAAAGATATCTAAAAAATGATCATTTCTAGATGACTTTTTATAGGTGACTAAATGACGTCTTAACGATCTATTAAACCAGATGTCTTAAAAATGTCTTGAATCGGATAGCATACTTGGAATAATCATTTGGTCACAATGTACGTTCATAACTTGAACTTAGCTTTCATATAAAAATTGAGATGATTTTTTTTTTCTTTTTTTCATAGCCCCTTTTTTATTTATCTTCTTCTTGAATCCTTCTTAGTCTTATTAATAATCCATTTACTGCTAAAAAGCATTGTATTTTGCTTTTTTTTGTCGTTTCTGAGTATTTTTTCTACATCTGTAATATAATCAGTGATGGGGCTCACCTGAGATAGCTATCTCATTCGAGCTAATATATACATATATATAGCTGTTGATAGGTATCTCATTCGAATGGAAGGCATATACAATAGATATTTTCTATGATTAGAGATAAAAAAATGTTTGAAAATAAATAACATTGAAGTTTTCACTTCTCGACCAAGACATTTGAGTACATTAATTACAAAAGACACATATACATGACTATAATAAGGCCGGTTTGGACTTACGGAGTTGAGCTATGGGGCTCCACTAAAGCATCGAATTCCTCTCGTATCCAATCCTTACAATCCAAAATCCTTAATGCTCCCTACTTTGTTACAAATAAAACCATCCATAATGACCTTAATGTTTCTTATGTTTCACATCTGGTCCAATCCAGATACCTATCCTTCCATAATAAACTTCAGAATTATCCCAACCCTTTCGTTTCTAACCTTGCCTACTCTTCGATTCCTGATAACCCTCCGAGGCTTCTGAAAAGAAATGCCCCGTGATCTGCTAATGTAGACATATCATTAGAGTGCTACCGTTGGATGTTTTCATGTCATTATATTCATATGTTCAAATTTACTGTATATATTTTTATTTATACAGTTGTAAATATCATTAAGAAATAATAAAAAAAAAAATTTGTTCCAAAGGGACATCAGTCTCAGGATGATAAAATTATTTTTCATTTCATTAACAATTTATTTGTTGGTTGGTTGTTGTTTAGTAAAGGCATAAAAACCTTTGGTTATCAATGGCGTTAATTAAGATTATATATAAAGAGAAGGATGGTTGGGGTGATCAGTCAAAATAAAATAGTAAAAATAAATAATTGCATTTATTTTAGCATTCGCCGACGTTTCGGCCCGAGGTTAAGGCCTTCATTAGGGCTACTCTACCTACAAGCATAGACAGACGTATTGTAGCGAGAGAGAGAGGAGCTGGCAGCTCATCATATGGAAATAACCTATTTCCACCTTAAAAGGGTGACAATAGGTGCGGGCGATTTATTTATTCACCATTATTATGAAAAAATAAGCTCTTCGGTAAGTATGGACAATCATATGCCAGAAAATGTTCTATGTTAAAACAGAAGACTGGCTCTCTGTGAGGGATGTGAAGTTAGGTGTTGACATAGGACTGGCAATATTTGACCTACTTGAGTGGACTTCCTACTTTTATGAGTGCTTTTTTATCCTTACTTTTGTAAGTACAGAAAAATATTGAAGACCTTCGTTTTCAAATGAATATTAGATTCGTTGGGTTGATAAAGAATATATAATTCGGATGTGAGTTCTCTACTCATCATTCTTATAGAATGAATCGTTCACAGCAAATATTATATAGGTAGATTTCAGCAAAATTTTGAAGCACTAAAAGATAACATTTAACTGTTAAAATCTTTACTTTTATTTACTAACTTGGAAACCACATACCAAACTTAAATGACAACAACTAAACAGACGATACGGACAGCTATATAGACTATTGAATAGAAAATCTCAACTTTCAGTCGACAACAAACTACTAATCTACAAGACAACCCTGAAACCTATTTGGACCTACGGAATAGAACTGTGGGGGACAGCAAAACTTTCTAACATCAAACGAATTCCGTCTCTCCAGTCTAAAGTCTTCCGATAAACAGTCGATGCTTCCTTCTATGTATCCAATAAAACCATACATAATGACCTTTTTATCCCATTTGTTCTTGACCTAATCCCAGACAAATTTTCCAAATTTCACGAGAACCTCACTCATCATCCAAATCCTGTAGCATAATCCCTATCTAGTTCCAGCCATCCCTACAATCCTCCCCGGAGGTTAAAACAGCAGTGGAAATGCCCAGATTCTCTACTCAGGTTCTCAGTGTCTGTTGCTGTAGTGCTCTCCATCAGTTTCCACTGACTTCTAATACCAGTGACGCAGCTGGGAGAGAAGCACTGGGATTTTCTAGAGTCCCGCCTTGGCTTCCACATTGGGGAATAAATCATTACTCAGGGTCTCCTGGGTGAATGTAAATATTGTATATAGGTCTGAATGTGTTTTATTTTCTTTCATTTTTATATATCATTTCATTTTTTGTACACAAACATATTAATTTACTTATTTTATTTTTCTATATTTCTTTTTCTTTATTATTTCTATCTTAGTTATTATTTGTATGTACATGTTGTGTGGATGATTCATGTAGCCTTAATATTAATGTCCTTTAATGTGCCAGAATGTATTAATATTAAATAAATAAAAAAAAACAATAAAAGCTTTTATTCAAGTTCGTTAATTCACATTTGCCTTTCTTCATTGCTGCCGATCTCAGCTGCTAAACTTTTTAGGATAAGTATTAAATCTGTTTATTCTATATGTATGTTTTCTCGATATCGTTCATGTTTATTTTTCTTCTTACATGGCCTATTGTAGAAATAAAATCGCCTGCATTCTTCACCAGGTTTTAAAATAACTGGTTATTTTAATTAGAGTTCTAAAATAACTGTGAGCAATACGTTTTCGTCTCTCCACTCGTCACGATACTCATCATTTCCTAAATGATGAGTACAGAATGATTTAATTATAAACTGTATTCGAATATAATTTTATGTGATATCTAATTATAGGTACAATGATATAATAATTAGCGAGATAAGATACAATGCAATGAACCTAGTTATCGATACTATGCCCTTTGTGTGTGTCGTGGGTACTAGTTCATTAGGCAGTCACTTTAGCCTAGACTTAGCACATAGGGCCAATTCCTCTCATCGCCTCGATTGGCTAATATCATCAGCAGGGTCTGCCAGCTAATTGTCATAGTCTACATTATATTGGTTTATTAATCAAGATATTTATATATTTTTCCTTTTTTTCTTATCATTTTTCCTAGAAGAATAGTTTAAATATTTCTTTCTAAATAACAATTTTTTTTTATAATTCTTTTTTTATTATAAACATTAAATTGAAGTAGTTAAAATTAGTAAGTAAAAAATTAGGTAATTTTATGAATTTTAAATTTTATTCGTCAATGAACATTAGATTATAACCAGGACCCGTATTTTTATGCAGTATTTTTATATATAGGCAGTACTTTTATACTTTTCATATATGGGCAAGTGGAATTAATAGAAATTCAAGTTTTGTCTACTACAAATTTATGAAGTATAACATGTTCCTGTATCAAAATCCGGAGAAAAAATAATGCACTGTTCAAAATTGTCGAAGTAATATTTCATGAAACATTCGAATGTTTCCCCTCTTTTATTTTTAATACTTAAGAATAGAAAAAAAAACATCAAATGATAAAACTCTTAACAAACGATGATGGTCAGGAAAAGGTTGATTTTGAATTAATGATAATACTTAATGAAGTTAGTTAAAAAAATAGTTTTCCTATTCAAAGAACGTTACAAAAATGTTATACAATAAATCATACTTTTTTTTATGACTAATAGGTCATTGGAAATGATTTTAAAGAGAAAATGCCTACCATAAATGTTATTTTCCGGTTGTTGTTAATTTCGTAATAAACTGTTTAAGCTCCTTGCAGAGGGACGTAATTATGAAATAGTAGGCTCACCATGGTAGATTTAATTGAACCTTTTTCAACTAGGTCATAATAAATTGTCTTTGTCTGAAAAAAAAATTTCCTCGTTAGCGGAATTTATTGAAGACATAATGCTACTTTACTGCTGTGATCCCACTAACTGCCCCTTGCTTATCAAGTTCACTGCGGGCATAGCAGAGAATAAAGTTTATTTTAACACATTACGAAAAACAAAGTTGCAAAAATACTTGTGATTATTATTCATGAGAAACATAGAAAAGAAACTAAATGATTTTGCTATAAATAAATAAAAATAAACTTTATTCTAAGATCTCTTAACAATAAAAATCACCCATACACAAAGTGAAATAACATCTACAAAAAAAAAGAAATTGATAAAATAGTATAGTTATTTAGGGTGTAATTATTAAAAATTTGATTGGATTTATAAAAAGAAATCTTCTATAGAGAATAATTTCTATTCAAGTGTTCTCGGGCGGAATGGCCTACAGGATTAACACGTATGTAAAATTCACTTTATATATATGGGCCGGGTCAGGCGTTTGTAATAGATAATCAAAGTTAAGCAACGTCGAGTGTGGTTAGTACTTGGATGGATAATAGTCCGATTAGGGTGACCGTCCATCAGGGAAAGCCATGTTTCCCGGGAATTCCCTCCCTCCCCCGGGTATGTGAGGCCCATCAGGCTGCTGGAGGCAACTGAAACCGACCGGGCGTAGGATTGATGACCCTACCCCGTGTCCTTGAATCGGGAAACCGGATGTGATTTACCAGGACGTTAATATCCCCCCTGAGATTTCGTCCATGGACGGTCTGTTTCAGTGAAAGAAATATAGGTCCTTGTGCCCTGCTGACTCTGAGCAGCCACAATCCATGGATCTAGACCGATTCGTCACTTTCCTTGAACCCGTGTGAGTCGGAGGGAAGGACACTGCCAGATTGGTCACAAAGGGATCGGTTATGGAGCTACGGATGGTCTGCCGCTGCACCATGGATACCGTGGTTTGTAGCTACGTGAAGTTGGGTTACTCCCTCCAGGCTATGTGTGCTTCCGCAAGCAATGTATGTTTGTAGGGAGACCACATCTCGCGGCCAAAGATCTTCATGGTCTGTAGCGCCAACCGAAAAAAAAATGTATATATATATATATATATATATATATATATATATATATATATATATATATATATATATATATATAATGTTTATAGTTGTATTAGAATTTCTGTTATCAAAATCTTTTTATAGTAAATGTTTGAAAACATCGCCATTGGCTTTACCAAGATTTTCAGCTTCCTCTTCGGAGGCCGACAGTTGTCCTCCTAATTGTTTCATATCTTCTTTTATTGAGGTCTGCAACAGGAGGGAAACTACCGCCCTTCGAGGATAAGTAGAACCCGAAAACGTTTAGAAGTCGTTATAGATATTTTGGAACATTTATAAAACGCTAATACATACATGAATTATTATTTATTCATGGAATTTTGATTATTTCTAATTAGCTAATACAATTTAAACATATGAAAATCGAATAAGAACATGTGGGTTTATTACTTGGGATTTAATTAATCGTGAAAGGGCAGAGGCTAAAGGGAAGACGGAGAAAGACGGAGAAAGGAAAGGCACAATCCGAGATGACTTTTACAGAAGAGGACTGGAATGGGGAAGGAGAACACGGATAGTCGAATATAGAGATTCTTGGACTAAGTTCTACTTAAAGGATCCTCATACTCCTGTGCGGTAGAAGAGGAGTAGATAAAATAAATGTGAAAATCAAATAAGAACATATGGGTTTCTTACTTTAAATTATCTATATATGTAATATATAGTAACGGAAAGTATTCCGGTCGTAAACAGTATCGTTCAGCATCTTAATTTTCAACGGAAATGCACGTTTCAAGGTCCTCTGTGCCAACATAACGAAGTCCCACCAGAAGGTCTGTTTGTGTTTGTGTGTGTGTGTGTGTGTGTGTGTGTGTGTGTGTGTGTGTGTGTGTGTGTGTGTGTGTGTGTGTGTGTGTGTGTGTGTGTGCATATATGTGAATAGTCTAGTTCAAAGAGGAAGTGAAAGAGGATGAAGGAAGAGAAGAGGAAGGAATTTTATACATTTATACAATTTTCTTGAAAACAGCTCTAACAAATTTGATTAAATTAATTTGTTCACCGCTAAATTATGACGTATTTAGTATAATATAGGTCTTATGCTCATCGATGTCCCCCATCAAGCTTTAAATACCTAATTTTCAAAATCACTTCCGCTAAAGTACCTTCACAATTTGTATTTGAAATAATTAACCATTTCGTACTAAAATCTGGTTTGTTTTGATCATTGAAAATTGGTTAAATATAAAATATTAAAGAATTTGATAATTAACTATAGGAGAAATATGGGATACAATACATGACCGTAATAAAATATGGGTTCCGATTATATTATATAGATATTCATGTGCGGTTATCACAAACACAAGGGTTTTTATTAGATGATATTTAATTCCATTGATTACAGCAACATAAAAATTAAAAATTTGTATATTTATTAATGTTTAAACGAAGAAAAATAAGCAAAATGAAATATAAATAAATATACCGGACTTCTTTATCAGAGGCACTCTTTTTGAACAAAAATATTTCATTGCACTTATTTATTTGTTATATTAAATTAACAATTAATTGTTTTAAATATTATTTTGTACAGTGTAACTTTCACTTCTAATTTTCTGTAAACATCTATTTCTGCTAAAAAAAGGGGGAGGGATGGTAAGTGAAAGTTGTGTGATGTGCTCACCGCAACAGATTTTTTTATTATTTTCCTGCTTGCAACCGATTCCTGGAGTTTTTCCTTTTTCTCTCGACTCATCCTATGAATAGATACGAAAAAAACAAAAAATAATACATATACATAAATTGCTATTAACATATCTTCGCTCCCCGTACCAGGTGCGGTGCATGGCTTTCCTTCATCTCAACGATCTTCTTTTTTTCTCCCTCCCAACTCCGTCCATTTACCGAGAGTTAAATGGTTCTTGACCCACATTTCTTCCCAGGTTTTTCTCATTCTTGCCTAATGGACATATCACGAGGCAATCTATTTTCCGGCACTTTGAAAATATGCCTAAATTATCGCAGGCATTTCTCAGGATCTCTCTCTCTATTGGTGTTAAATCAAATATGGTCCGTGTTCTACCTGCCCATGGTCTGGACGAAAGATCTTTCACATTAAGTAAATAAAAACAAATACAATAAAGTCAGCTAACAAACAATGTATAAAATACAAACAATATGTATAAAATATTTGAAACTATATAAAAAACAAATTGAAAACTGCATGATCTGTTCGGATTATCAAAGGATAAATTTAATATGATTGAAAAGTTAAATATGAAGTCATTGCAAACAAAAAAAAATTCTGAAAATGGTCATTATCATATGTCCAGAATGTAGAGATTTAATGCTAAAGAGAGTAGAGAGAGGACTTGAATTGGAGAATATTGTAGTCATAGGCGATGGTGTTCAAATGGTTGTTGATAATATGGTAAATGAAAGTTTTAAGGAAATATTGTCTTCGGAAGGAGGGGAAAAACCACCTTAACTCAATGTAGGGAAAATAAATGGAAACGTCTCGTTATCCCATTGACAAATATCACAAAGTTATTCATAAGTTTCTTCATTCTGCCACTTAGATTCTCCGGGAGACGACGCAGCCGTAGTCAAAGTGGGGGAAAGTGAGGGAAGAAACTAGATTTATACGAGTAAATGATGGCGAAAGTGATGTAGCAGTTTGAGAATGGAAATTGATCTTCGGGAATGTGGTGATTTCAGGAAGGGATTAGACCAATGAAAACGTCTAAATTTTTAAATGAGCTATAAAAAGTGATGGGAAGGTCATTTAGGAATAATGTGGGAAAGTTGGTATTGGGTCTGTGAAGGGGCTTGGAACCAATGACAATGGCCTCAGCTTTAGCAGCATTTAACCTCAATCCTAAGATTAAGATAGCCAAAGCTTCGTTTCGATAAGGTCGCTTTGAATCTTGGTATCTGTGTATTGTGTTGGTAATACGCATTATGTTATTTGTGTAGTAAAATTCTTTAATGTATACTAAATGTACGATATTTAATAGTTATCACATCTTTGACAGGTTAATTACAAATTAAAAAATAAAATTTTCTGAAGTAAAACAAGCAATATCATAAAATTAATGTTTTATTACAGATGCACCACAGCCTCCTGTACTATAATTTTTCTCTTTGTAAAAAAAATATTAAAATTAATAAGCTTAGAATAATTTATATTTAATAATTACTTTAACCAATAAAACAGATACATGCTAATTTAATTAATATTAGTCATTATGGAGTTTGATATTTTCTATCACTTAATATCTTACCGTTACGCACCTTGAAGTTCTTATTCTATGGACTGCTTTGGCATACGAGTATTCGGTAAGGTGCTTAGGGCAACTAGATTCGAAACGACACTTGGTGATTTCCTGAAAAGAATTTTTCTCATTGGAATAATAAACCCTTTCCAGAAAATATATTTTGAAGCAAATTTTTATTCCAAAGCTTCACTATGACCTAGAAAATATATTGTTGTCACTAGATACTATAAATGAGGATGGATATCCAAAGACATGGTTTGACTCTGGAAATTGATTTGATAAACGTAATAATATCGGACAGTTTTATAGTTTACTTCAGTTGTCACGGAACTATAGGATAATAATTATTGTATAATAAACAAATGTATTATAAAAATTAATACTTATTTTGTTAATACATGTTAAAATTTATAAATATTGATATTGGTACCTTCTCTTATTTTCCATTAAATAAAAATGGAATGAATAAATCAATAATGGAATAAATAAATAGAAGCAAAAACAGAAAGAACTTCTATGTCTGAAGCAATCTTCACGTATTGACTTTCAAAAGTGATTCCGTGACTGTTGCACGTTTCCTTCGATTTTCTATTCTATGAAGAAATAAGTTTACATGAAGTGTCACGTATACGTTTTGTCATGTAATTGTATACTGCATTTCAATTAATTTTTCTTTCCCTTTTTCATGCATATTGCACATGTAGTGGTATAGTGTTTTTGTCGTTTCGGTTCTGTTATTTTATGCTCATTTACGGGAGTTGACATCGCATTTGATTTTGGTACTTATATCGATTGCAATTATCCTAAATAGCTTAGATTAGGATAGTTTAGTATAAGCCAATAAAGTACAGATAACTGGTCATAAATTACATTAATTAGGTCATCCATCTAGCTATAACCAATAATGTCAAGTTCTCGGACAAAGAAGCATCTATCAAATTACGATTCAAATAAGGAAGAATAATTTACATAAAGTCAAATAATTTTTTTTCGAGATGACATTATGCCAACACAACACAATTGTAGAAAGTGATGTGTCATTTGAGCTTTGCTGATGACCTATACATAAATAAATCGTCTGCAGCCACAGCCTCACAATATGGCGGGCGTGTGAGGTGATACATGAATAGATAAAAACATTCGGATAGCACAGTTACCTTCAAGTGGATGAAAGAATTTTTTTATCTGAGTGATTTAGTAAACTCCAACAATGTCACGCAACCAAAGAAAGACTAAAGAATAATGGCGTCCAATGGATGCTATTTTGAACTTCGAGGAGTTCCTACACTAAGATAAGAACGCCGGATCTTTCGCAGAACATTTTGCCGAGTGTTTGTAAACAAAGAGTGGAGGCATAGAACATACACAGAACTGCAGGAACAGATCTAAGATAGTGACGTGATCAGATTTATGAAGAATACTCGCCTTTTGGTATGTTCTAAGTACTTAATTCAAAATAAGCTTCTTATTGAACAGTTATTTGGATGAAGACCCAAACTACATTGGGCTGGTGATGCAAAGGTTTAGAAATGATGACATGTCATTAATGGACAAATGAAAGTATTTCGATAAGAGAAAAGAAGAGAATTTTTTTGGAAGCTGTAAATTTTGAAATGAAAAAGACATATGCTCAATATCTTATAGTGACTCACTAGCAGATCCAGGATTTAATTTTGGGCGGGGCTTCAGCCCGAAAGCTTTTTTTTCATAAAAATGAAGATAATTACTTAGGATAAAAAGAAATAAACTAACTGCCCTCATAAAATGGTGTTTAAGTGATTCCTAAAGTCCTTTTAAATGTGATTACATGAACAATGATACTTTAAGAGTAATTTTTTTCCATAAAACATGGTTACATTTTACCATTTTGGGAGGAGCTTCAGCCCGAAAGCCCCCCTCCACCGTTGATCCTCCCGTGTAGTGACTTCCATTATCTGGAGGATTTGAGCTCGTTTATAAAACACGCTTTAACTGAAGAACATAATTGTAAAAGAAGAACTTGCGATTTATTGTAGTATTGTTTTAGGGCTATAATAATAAAGTAAGATAACTACTCATTTTTTATTTATCTAGATTGAGATACGCTCTCAAATTGATATGATTTATATTAAAAGATGAGAAGCATTAATACTTACCTTGAACGCCGCCCTGAACTTGAGAGACATGATGTTGTAGAGGAAGGGGTTGACGGTGGTGGAGAGGTAGTAGAGGGGCCCCGAGATGTAGGTGATGCACTGGTAGAAGAAGACCATCCGCGGGGAGTTGTGCTTCCCCTGGGCCTGCATGGCGAAGAGCCTCTGGGCCTGGAAGGGGGCCCAGCAGATGAAGAAGGCGACCACCACCACCACTGTCGGAGGAAACTTCTTCATTCATTGTAAATAATGTAATAATGTATTTAAAACATAAATACATAAGATTACCTTCTAGTTTGGAAAATACAAACATAACAACAAGTAGTATTAAAGGGCAAGAACTGTTTTTTATTTAAACCAATATATATATAACGGAGGGAGTGGCCGTGCGGTCTAAGGCGTTTGCAACAGGTAATCAAAGTTAAGCTACATCGAGAGTGGTTAGTACTTGGATGCGTGTCCGCCCAATATAGGTGACTGTCCACTAGGAAAAGCAACACTACTCGAGATTCCTCCCCTCCACTCTGGGTATGTGAAGTCCGTCAGGCTATTGGAGGCAACTCACACCGACCGAGATTAGGACTAATGAACCAACTTCATGTAAATCCGGAATCAGATATTTAGTTCAATAGGATGATCAAGCACTAGCGGATCCAAAATTTAGTTTGGCTTCAGCACGAAAGCTTTTTTTTTTTTATAAAATTAACGATAATTACTTTGGAAAAACAGAAAGAAACTAACTACCTATATGAAATGGTGTATAATAATACTTTAAGAGGTATTTTTAAAATTGTTTTTTCCATAAAACATGGTTATATTTTACCATTTTGGAGGGGAGCTTTAGCCCGAAAACCCTCCCTCTCCCGTAGTCCCGCCCGTAATGTCAAGTAGCCTCTCTGAGGTTTAGTCCATGGAGGTTCCGTTTCGGAGAAAGAAATATATTTCCTCCTGCGTTGGCTGACTCTGAAAAGCCATAATCCTTAGATATAGATTTATTTGTAACTGTCTTGTAAAGTAACCCGATATTCCTCTCCTTCCCCCGGGTATGTGAAGCCCGTCAGCCTATTTGAGGCAACTCACGCAGCCCAGGCTTAGGACTAATGTCCGAACTCCGTGTATATAGAGAATCGGGATGTGGTTCATTAGGATGTCAAGTAGCCTCGCTGAAGTTTGACCCATGGAGGTTTCGTTTCGGGAAAAGAAATATATTCCCTCCTGCGCCTGCTGACTCTGAAATGCCATAATCCATGGATATAGACCGATTTGTAACTGTCCTTGAACCCGAGTGAGTAGGTGGAAAGAACACTGCCAGATTGGCCCCAAACGGATCGATTATGGGTGGCCTGTCGCTAAACCATGAAGACCATGGACCTCCTCCAGGCTATTGCTCTGCACCCACAAGCAATATACGTCAGTAATGAGACCAAATCTCGCGAAAAAGATATTCATGGCCTGTAGCGCCAACCGAAAAAAAAGAATATATATATATATATTTATCAAAGTCAAATGTTTGATAAATTGGTTTGTACGATTCACCTCCAGGATCTCGAGGGAAGCCCCTAATCCGTTTTTATAAAGAGTTCCTTCAATTCAAATGGTCTGATCACTCCAGCATTACACATTTACGGCCTTTAGATTTGTATACAACGGCTTACCGAACCCCAACTTTCGTAAGATCTTTCATTATTCCATACCCTATATCCGTCACTCCAATACCCTATATATATTTAAATCCCTTCTATTCAATCAGTTCCTATCCATCCAGTTCCCAAACAATTGTAAATATTTTTTTCCTGTAAATATGTATTATATATAAATTATTAATTTAGTTTATGTTTTTTTTAATCTTTAAGGTTAGTGAGTTAAATTGTAATTTAATTTGTAATTGTAATCTTAACTGTTAGTGCAAAAGGTTGAATATAACATTTTATTTGAGCCAAAGGTGATATTTTGTAGTCTGCAACAGCAATAAATAGTCTGCTACACATTTCAACTGCTGTTTTTGTATTACCACTTTAATTATATTGATAAGGTGTGTACCTTGCAATACGGTGTTGTGTGGATATTAAATTTAGCAGTGAGCTTTTGTTTTCAAAAACCTTGTTCCTCATTCAATGCAAGCGGCCATGTTCTAGACAGTTAACAACTATGAGGAGGATAATAATATTGCAATTTATAGTTTAAGTTTTCTAGAAAGTATGTGTAAACTAAGAATCTAATAGAAACTAAGAAAGTAGAAAGTAGAACTAAGAATTTCACAACTGAGAAATAATAATCATCACACGCCTTCACTATTCTATTACTTTTCTCTTAAAAAAGTAAATTTTATTATAAATCAATGAAAAAATCACATACTTAAATTCCTACCTAATCAAACGAATTTTCTTTAATTTATTTTCTTTATCATTTCCAGTAGTAATCACTTCCTAATCCAATTCCTTTGTAATTTATAGGATTTTATAATTTCATACTGTGTTCGCGTATAGAGTAATGTTTCGAAGATTTTATTAATCCTTCTGAAAGATTCTTGTTAATTTTTCTGCTCCACTAGCTATTATTTAATTAAACTAATATTATTAATAAATTATATTTTTAAAATAGTTTTTTCATTTCTAAAGTTCACAATTGGAGACTAGGAACTTCTCAGACTCTGGGCGAGTTGAAGAAGGGAATGCTGATTTGGATCGACTCTAGGACAAACCTTAACTTGATTGGGATCCGATTGATTCAAGTCTATTCTTACTAGTGATGTAATTCAAATATTTTTAATTAAATAGAATTAATAGTTATCATTTTGAATAAGATTCAATTCTTTAAATCTATATCTCAAACGTTTCTGGAAAAAAGTTATGTAGGAAAAGAAATTTTATTTGCGAATAACTCAAAAAGTATGCATTTTTTTTTATTTTACCCACGATAATTAGAAAGAATACTAAATTAACTACAAAACGAAAAAGAAAATCGTAAAAATCTGGCAAATAATAATAAAGATACAGTCCATTAGTTTTGCTATATTTAATACTTTCTTCATCTTTAAAGATATTGCATTTAGGAGTAGAATAGTCTACTATACTTTTTTTTCCCTAGCTCATATATTAACTTTATTATTTCTTAAAGACATTTGGTTGTTCTTACATTTTATTTTTTTAAATAATTTAGAAAATTCCATGATCGGGGCATTATTTTGTCTTTATTACTTTTATTATCTTTCCAGTCATTGTTTAAAAATAGGTCCCAGCAAAGCAATTTGAACAAATAATGTTGTCTATTATGTTTAATGGAATATTGTAATCGAAAGGAAAAAATATTAATTCCTTCCTTTCATAATACGTAGAAACTACTTCTTTCTATATTTTTTGCTGTTTGTCCACTAAACAAAATATTCTGCGAATTATTCACACGGGCCAACTAGTTATTTATATTTATCATTATGTATACGATATAGTTCCTGGCGTAACGCATACTAGCTGTCGTGGCTAATATTATTATAAAATTAAATTATATATGCTAGGTGTTTTACAAAAGCTCTGAGGCTAATGTATACCACGTAAGGCGCATACAAAGCAGCCAAGGAAAAAATCCCTTCTCGGCCTTGTCTATACGGAAGGATGAATTTTAGATTATGTTTCCCTCGAACGATATAACCTCCCTCCCACCTTACAATATGAAGGGGGCGTACAGGTTCATCTTGAGCAAGTTGGAAATTCTAAATAAAACATTTTATCCTAATTATTTAAAACTCAATTTCATATTGAAAATGATGATTTTTTTAAATTCAACATGTTTGCACTATATCAAACACCCATTTTCTCTTATATCCATGGAATAAATAGATATTAAGGAAAATGATACCTTAGTGCAGGCCGAAGAGGATGTGTTACATCGTGGAGAAAGAACGAACGACTGGAACAAAAAAAAAACCTCCACACGCTCTTGAGGTCTTAAATCGAACCTCGCATATATTTCACGATAATAGGGCTGTAAAGCGATTTTCCATGAACAAATAGCACTTTGAAAAATCGCTCTATTTCACGTCATGTTCTTGCCGTTTTACAAGAATATATGTTTTTACTTTCCATTCGCACTTAAGCGCATAAGGTATTCCACCTCCCAGAGATAGGCATTTTGTTATCTGAGTACCGAGAACCAAGTATTTTACTCAAATTTAATCACTGTTGGGAATTCGCACTTAGTTATTTATTTTTGAGGAATCTGTGTCCTCCTCTTCAGCAATCTAAAAAATAAAACTAATATATTTTAGATTCAATTTAGAAACCAGTCATTATTAACTAAAATACCTAACACAAAAACAATTTTTTAAATAAATATAAATTATTTCATAAACATTTCATTGAAAAATGTAGGTAATTTACATTTATTCCTCCCATTAAACTGGGTATTTCAAAATGATATAACAAGTTTTGTTCAATGTCTGATTTTCAACTAAACAAATTATAGAGTTGCTTACAACCCTATTTGTTACTTTAATACTTCTACTTGAAAATCATACATTGTAACTAACTTGCTATATCATTGTAACATTCAATTTTCGGGAAAAATGAAATGTAAGTTACCAATATTTTTTAAGAAATGTTTGCAAAATAATTTATATTTATTTAAAAAATAATTTTATATGTTTTGTAAATTAGTTCATCAACCTCAAATATATTGGTTGTATTTTTTGGATTGCTGAAGAGGGAGACAAAATTTCCCAAAACATACAAGTAACTATCAAAAGCTAATTTTGATATTTATTAATCTGACTTTAAGGAATATACATAAGTGTGAGAAGAAATTAAAAAAAAAAAAAAAATGGAAAATTTTTTTTTACATTTTCACAAATCCCGTGAAAAATAATATAATCTTTTACCATGAAATTCTTATTATATATTAATAAACCGACAATAGCCACAACGAAAACACTAAAATCAATTTTTTTTTTCTCTCTCAAGTGAAATTTTTTCCTTATATAAAATTAATTTTGTTAATGTTAACTTTTTCCTGTTTAAAAAATTCATTATGGATAAATATCAAGAAATCATTTTTCACTGGTGTATGAATTATTTGAAGAAAACATCTAGTCGTAAATCGTTATAATATTCATCGTCTACATTCCGTTTAACTAGTCTCCCAGCTGATAGCGGAGGCGTTTCAAAGTGACGGCAATTTAAAAGGAGATTTAAAATTGCTTAGTTGGAGGATGATTTGTTTCTAGCCAAATTAATAATGCCCTATTA